TTTTCTCAGATTTTGCCAAAGCTAAAGCAAGACCCACATGTATGCAAAATTGCACACCAAGACAAAGGAGATAAGACCTCATGTCTCTCACATCTCCAATCTTTTGGATTTTTCACAGATTCAATGCCAGAACTCTAATGTGAACACCTTTTCTTATCCCTTTACAGACCACACAATACTCATTCCTCTGTTTGTCCCTTAGAAAAGAGTCATTTTACTTTCTTCCGGGAAAGGGAAAGAAAAAATGTGGTTTTGGCTAGATTCCTTTGTACAAAAGCAACTAAGCGTTCAATTACTTTGCACCTTTCCATTTTTCCTAATTTATTTATTTATTGCTGGATTTTTCTTTCTGTTTACTTTGGTCCACTTATTGTTTTCTTATATATATCCCCTCCTAGGTATGCTTACGGGAAATGTTGTTATAGGATTTGTATCTATCTTTTTCTTTGCCCCTTTTAAAAGGATAAATACATTTCATAACATAAAAAGGCAATATAACACTTATTCATATCCACACAATCTCTTATTGTGTGAAACACAATAATGATATACGACTAATTCCATCTATAAATTCGAATGAAATGCTAAAAAAAAAAAAAATATTGCGCATTGGGCTCCACGATTACTTGCGACTCTTTATCATATCCTCTATAATTGATGAAAATCCGATCAACTGATGTCGCGAACCCCTTGCACTATCCCTACCCTATTCAACAATTCCGACACCATTGATCATAAAAAAAAAAAAAAAATCCGACACTATTAGATTTTAGCACCAAATTATTTTCTGAGTATGAATACAAAATGATGTAATGCATACTCGTCAATAACTGATTGGTTAAGTATGCAATGCTAAGTCAAACCAAATTATATTATAACAAGTGCATTCCAAAGCCATTAATTAATTATGTTTAGTTTTGATAAATAATTTAGTATGGGTAACATCGATAGGCTTCATTATTTGTTTTAGGGGTTGTAGAGATTGTTCTTTACTGTATTAGGGATTCAAATTATCTATTTAATTTTAAACGTAATGTATCACGAATTATATTATATTACGTTATTTAATATATTTAAACATTAAAACATAGAAAAGCATTTAAAATTGTTTAAATGACGCATATATAGTTGGTTATACATAACAATTAAACAAGTGTTTTGAGTTCGTTGTTTCTATTTTTGTATAATTGTTTTTACGGATGGAAAAAGAGGGTCATGTTGTTGAAGGTTGCTTCACCCACAAAATCCTGGTAATGTAAAAGTATAATATCTATCATAGCTTACTATCTTTCAAACTCTTGGTTGGATCCTCATTCTTCGGGAAATAGAACAAAAAGATGTGGAGATCAAATAATGTAATATTTATTTTGTTTGAGAATCAAACATTCAATATTTACAAACTACTATTTGGATTTTATATAAGGTTCATAGTTCCTCATAAACTATGGTGCTAATTATAAATGAAATGTGTATGGAATTTGCCAAAATTGGTTTACAGAAACAATAGTAATGCTTGCTTTATGGACAAATATATATATATATATATATAATAAAAATTAGTCAAAGAATATTTTCTTTTTAGAATATTGCAAAAGATTTTTTTTTAAGTTGCCTCGTCTCATTCACGCAACACTATAATTAGATCATCTTTAATACAAATGTTGATGCCAATTATATATTTGACACCGAAAAATATGATAAGACATGTTATTTTTATTTCTGCTCTAATGCATAATGCTAAAATTTACTTATCTGATAACCATTAAATTTTAAAAATTGTAAAAGTAAACTCTTAATTTTAAAGTAATTTAAAAAATCAAAAGTTGTAATGATTAAATGAAGTAACCATACCAACTAATAGAAATCAAGTACCAAATTTATTAAGCAATGCGCCTTTAACAATATGCACCAACGCGTCCTTCCTATTATAATATTTACCTCTCAGAGCCCATGCGTCATTTACTCTCTCCTGACGATTGTCGAATCAGCATCCATGCACCCTCCCCTATTCTCTTCTTGATGTTTGTTGCCGTTGCGGCCCATACATTACGCTCCATCACTCGTGTCGATTTCTTCTATTACGGTTCAAGATTGGATTCTCCTATTAGAGCTCCATCTTGCGGAGCATAATAAGAATGATTTATTTATTTAAATTTAAATTAATTTGCATTTAGTTTATCCTTAGTAGTTATTAGATTAGTAGTATCTATTATTTTAAAGTTTGAATTATTTTAAATTATTAGTTATTAGTAGATAAGTGTTAGTTTAAATTATTTGATCTAAATTAGTATTTAATTCCAATTCAAATTCTTCACGTAACTCTATAAATGTTGCGTTTTCAAAAACTTGTACCATTTTACTTCAAAGTTTAAATCTTATTAGCAACTAGCATTAACATGGTAAAAGACATGGTCAAGGGGCAGCTAACTGGTAAGTCTTTTGCATGAGGGATTAAAAAAAAAAAAAAAGACTTGCGATCACAAACAAGTATATGAAGTTGGAGAGAATTTCATTTATTTATTTATTTCTTGTTAGAAAATAAAAAGTGTTGTTTCTTGTTTTTAGACAATGAGACATTAGACAATATTATCACTTTTCTTTTTTTGGTTGGAGAAGAGATTAAATCTCGTTCAATTTTTTAATTCAAATTTTTAATTTAAATTGAGATATAATTTTTTATGATAATTTTTTTTAAAATAGAAAAAATTAAATGTAATTTTTTAATTGAGTTTTTAATATAGTAAATTTAAATTAAATAGATAACTAAGTAAGGCTTCTGTTTTTTCTTTAAAAAAAAAAAAGATTTCTACTTTTTGTTGCACCACCTGCCATCTCCTTTGCCATAATTTTTTTTTTCTTCAACCAAAAAATAATAATTTTTTCCCTGAAAAGAAAACAAGGGAGAGCAGAATTTAGAGCACCTCATTTAATGGAAAGGCATTTTCTTTTTTCTTTTTTCTTTTTTTTTTGTGATAAATAATGAAAGACCCTTTTTGTTCCAATTAACTGGAGTTTATCACATGGTGGAGTTTATCACATTTTCTTAAGTCATGATTTAAATTATGATTCATTATTTATTATAATATTTTTTTTATAAAAAATATATATAAATTAAAAATAATTTTAATCTCATAATTTTAATTTATGAACAAAATATTATCTTAATTTCTCAAATTTATGAAAGTGGTCTCCGCTCTGGTATTAAATTAAATTGTGATGTGTATATCAATACTTTGTTTATTGATTTATTTTAAAAGTCTATTTACTTTTTTTGTAACATTATTTCATGCTAACCTTTTTACATTATGTTTGACAAAAAAAAAACAGAGAGAATTTTTTATAGATGAGAATTAGAGTTTGTTCACTAGCAGCATAAAAAAACTAAATTCTTAAAATTGTTATAAAATAAAAGAAAGTTAAGGGGAGTGAAAGAACAATAATAAGAGAATAGGAAGAATTAAGAGAAGAAAAAAGAGAATATTTTGATTCACTCTCATTATACAATGTTTCTCTAAAGTTCTATTTATAGACTCTTCTACAAAACAATAATAGAAAGATCTATAAAATAATTGTAATTGTTAGATTTTAATCAATTATAATATCAATTAATTGTATATTACAATCTCATAAATTGTGACCTTAATCCCATAAAGATACCATAAAATCTGGTTAATAGACATTCACATTAAATCTTATATTTATAACAAAAATAATTTTTTTGGTAAGTTATTAATAAAGTATTTTTTATTTTTCCGTTACTAAACATTATTACAACAGAATTAAGAATTTTCGTGTAGGAGATAAAAATGCCTTGCACCATAATGACAAACACAATTAAAAAAACTACATTCAAAAGCTCTCCTTATCATTTTACCTTTCTTATTGATAGTGCTTTTTTTTTTTTTTTTTTTTTTTTTTTTTTTTTTTTTTTTTACATTATATCTTGCTAAAATTACTTAACAATTAAAATAAGAATTTAAAATTGACGCAACCTGATAAACAAAAGTTTTTGTTTATTTATACATCTCTTTAATGTTTACTCTATATTAAAATATAAAAAATATGCTTTAAAGTGAATTCTTGTAGTTTCTTAATTTTCTACAACATTTTCACATATATTAATATGTTTTCTAAAATTTATATAAAATCAGAATGTCAATATTTTTACTGATGTTGATATTTTCATTTTTTTACTATAGATTAGTGTTTTATGTCCTAATCAGTGATGAAGTTATAAATTTTTCTATTAGAACGTGAGTAAAACATAAGTTTTACTCTAAAATAATTGTATAATTACTATTATCTTTTTATTATTTTTATATATTTTTTAATTTAAATGAATCAATCTTTTAATTGAATTTTTTTAGAGGATCTTATTCAGTTTAATTGAATTTTGAAAGTCTTTATTATCTTGAGGCCTAATTGTTTGAAGTAAAAATTTAAGAGAAAAAGCGTAAAATAATTAATTAAACAAATTTAGAGAGGTTTTTTTGAATCAATAAGAGCGGATGTTTCTACTCACTAATGAGACGTTTAATTTATAAATTTATAATTTTAATTTAAAATTTTAATTTTTTATTAAAAAATACTATAAAAAATTAAAAATTATAATTTAAAATTAAAAATAACCCTTAAAACAAACAAATAATAAAAAGTTACGCCATTACTAATTAAAAAAAATAATAGATTTTTTGATTTAAATTTATAATTTAAATTTTATTACAATAAAAAATTTTTAAAAATAATTACATTTAATTTTTTTATTATAATAAAAAATTCTCTACAACATCACATCTCAACTCAAATTAAAAATTTAAATTAGTAAACCGTACCGAACGTCTCTAAAATTCTTAAATAGTTTTTCATTATGGTTTTTCCTCTACGAAAGGAGGAAGAAAAAAAAAAAGAAAAAAGAAAAAGTGGGGCCACCAGCTATTTCTTCTCTGGACACAGCTTTAAAAGGCGCGTCTCCAGTTCTTTGACGTAACACTTTCCCACAAAAACACAACCGAAAGAAAAACAACTCAGAGAAAAAGAAAAGAAAATTCAGAGAAATCAGTCAGAAAATGGGAGGCTTCTCTTGCGAATCCGAATCATGGGTTCTGAACCCAGAAGAAGAACGCCACGATCATCAGAGATCGCTCTCTCGAACGAGCTCTGGGTTCGAGTTTCGGTCGAAGAACAACCAAGAAAGGAAGAAGAAGAAGAAAACGAAGAAGGAGAATTCATGTTCAGAGAAGAAGAACGGGGTGTTGCTGGAGCTGGAAGGAGATGAGCTTGGAAGGACGAAGAGTCTGACGGACGATGATCTCGAGGAGCTCAAAGGGTGTGTGGATCTGGGTTTTGGTGGATTCAGTTATGATGAGATTCCGGAGTTGAAGAACACGTTGCCTGCTCTGGAGCTCTGCTATTCCATGTCTCAGAGCTCTTCTCTTTCTGACTCCTCATCCACTCCCATTCCTAATTGGAAAATCTCCAGTCCTGGTTAGTAATTACATCTCTTTTTTAAGCCAATACCCATCTGTTTTTTTTTTTTTTTTTTTTTTTTTTTTTTTTTTTTTGTTTTTATTTTTGGGAAAACTTGCAGAATTTAGTTTCCTTGGTCTTGAAAATATGACATAAAAGGGCGTTTCATTAATTTGGAAAGGAATCATCAAAATCTAATTTATTTAATTTTTCTTCTCTTTTGTCCAGGTGACCATCCAGAGGATGTTAAAGCAAGGCTCAAATTCTGGGCACAAGCCGTGGCTTGTACTGTTAAATTATGCAGCTGAACTATCAAAAGAAAACACTTTATAATGAATTCATATCTTTTCCAAAAAAGAAATATGTTACGGCCATCAATCATCCTTTGAGAAAAAAAGCTGGATCTTTTATGTGAAGAGCTGTGTGCTCTTCACTGGTCCACTCCTGGGAAAAAAAAAAAAAATCCTAAAAAATTCTCAAGTTGAAGCTGGAGATGGACCTTCAAAAGGTTCTGCTCATGAATGGGATTAATGGGTTCTATCTATTTTTGGAGAAGAAACAAGAAAGAGCTAAAGAAGGAGAAGGAGGAGAAGAAGAAAGAAGAATGTTTCAGGTTTGAGATCATTCTCTTTTGGAGGCCTGGCTAAGACTGATACCTTGTTCTAAACGTTATTGGATCTTGTATTATTATTCTTTGTTGTTAAATTAAAGTAATAACAATATGAAAATTATAAGCTTTATTGTGTTTAATTAATCATTTTTCATTGGCGGGTCATGTGTGTTAGTACTTAGTTTTGATGGGATTCCAACTTAGCTGTTGGGTTTTATTATTTATGCAGCTGTGACTGGTGAGAGCTTCCATTTAGAGCTTCACCAACACTGATCTCTGTTGTTTTTGCTGATGACATGAACCTCTGCAATTTGGCTGAGGTAACTAACCTAACTTTTAACTGATCCATAATCAGTCAAAACTTTTTGCGCTTCAATTATGACCCTAAGTGATGCATCACCGCTTGCGTGTCAGTCGGTAGAGTAGAATCGTCACTTGGCAAAGGGTAAAAGAATGACTGGCACTGTTAATATGGTGATTGCATCATCAACGGTGATAGATAGCATTTTTCTCAGAATTATGGTGATGGTGTTACATTACTAACTAAGCTTTAACTCTGTTGACTAGCTATGATAATCCATTCCATTTCCGGGGATATAGTTATATTTGCCCGTCGGGCTGGTATTGCAGAAGCCAGTGGAGGGAGAGGGAGATTGCAAACTTTACTTCATTGACTGACCACTATCTCATTCTCATGTGCTAATTTCCCAATTTAGAGACTTTTTGGCTTTGCTTTCCAAGGGCAATAGTTCCTTGTGATTATGTGTAAGGACTGATTTTAAGAGTCACTAGTTCTTAGCTGACTTCTGATAAGATGATGTATTGTTTGTTGTTTGATGGTACAATTAACGGCGTTTTAGTGTTTGTTTATCTTTATGTTGTTACTAAAGTTGCAAGCATTGTGACTTAGGTGACATTAACTAGAATGATTCTTAGAGTTGAGCTGTGGTGTTGAACACTGCTGATGTTCTTTGTTGTCATTACAACTAAGAAAAAAGATACAAAAGATTAATGGCATTCATGATGGGTGATATGAGGTTATTTTGATAATTGTGGTGTCAAATACTGCTTGATTTTCTTTATTACTAAACTACTAAGAAAATGTTACAAAAAAAGGTTAATGAGATCCATGATGGGTGATATGGGGTCATTTTAACCCTTTGTTTTAGTGGTATGATTGTATATCTGAGTACTAATCGCATGCAATTTTTACAAGCAAAACAACCATCACCAATGAGGATTGCTAATATGCAACATGCAAAAAAGGGTGGAAAATGTGGCTTGAATGAAGGAATATTTTGCAACAAAATATATCGTTTTGTTTAGAGCCAAAAGTGTTTTCCTTTCACCGAGCAATCGCTCTAGTTTCTCATGCAAATATAGGAGATAAATGTAACGAGTATTATAGAATAACCTTCGCTTGAGACTTTTGGTTATTGTAGATAAATTGAGGAAGTCTTGTTTGTCTACTCATTCAGTTTGGTTCTTGGAGCATTTAATTTTCATACTAGGGGTGTGAGGAAACTGCAAAACGTTTTCTATGCATTACCCTTCAATGAATGTGATGGAATGAGTTTAAGGGTGATGATTGTCGCTTATCGCTTCATTTTTGCAACCGCTTTCCTTCTTCCCCTTGCTTTTTATGTTGAAAGGCACCCTCAATCAATATATAACTATATTTTCTTTCTTTTTTTGTTTTTGGTTAATTTTGTAGTTGTACATGTATTTTTAGGGAATTTATTCTCGTGTTCTCTTTTATGTCTCTCTAATAATATTGTGACACGTTAATTAAAAAATCATGACGTAAGTACATGTTATTATTAGAAGGACACGAAAGATGATAGAAAAAGGAGGCATATGAACCCATTTGGTATTATTAGACATCCACACATACAATATTTAGATTAATTACCTTCCATTTACTATGTCATATAATTCATCCAATTTACTTACGAACTCAACATAATTTAAAGAAAAAGGAAAAAGAAAATACAAAAGGAAATGCTTTTAGTGAATATCTGGGGAATAAATCTTATTGTTAGTAGTATAACTTGAATCAAGCCAAACTTTAGGAACAAAGAAAGGAGTTGAATAAGCATCTCAATTTCTAATAAAAGTACGTCGATCTTAAAAATTATTGGCACTAGAAGTTGGACCACTAGTCAATAGCATGGTATGAATGGTCCCTAATTTTTTGAAAATTTACAGAGGCAGCAGGCCAAAGCTGGCTTGGATGGTACTCTTTCAGGCATTTCTATGTGGCCTGGGTAAGTACGAATTAGATTTTGCATTTAAGTTTTAAAATTACAAAAAAAAAAAATATATATTCTGATACATTATTAAATTGTTCGTTTTCACCACGTGTTTTCAGAAAAGACAAAAAATATCCCTTTGTTTATAGAATCAAATAAAAAACATCCTTCGTTGTGAAACAACTAAATTTATCTTTAACATACATAAAAGAGCCAAAAGAAATTAGCCCTCCTTTAGTTACATGTTAATCTTTTGTTTTTTGTTTTTTGTTTTTTTTTTTCTTTTCCACTAGTTTTGTAATGTGCTCTGCATGTACTGTGTTAGAAACACCTGAAGAATTTATTATTTACTCAATAATGAGAAATTCATTTATACAACCATTTAAGAATTTTTAAAATTATTTTAAAAATAAATATGTGTAAAGATAACAATTGAGAAAAAAAATAAGTGGAGACATATTTAAAGAAAATTATTTTAATATATAAAAAAATAAAATAAGAACACACGTCAAAGAAATTACTTTTAAAAAACACAAAAAATTAAAATGTATTAAAACATTCAAAAAAGATAAAAAAGTAAAGAAAAATAGAAAAAAAGAAAAAAAGAAGGTAAATAGAGGGACTGTCACGTGACAACCTCATAGAAAAGAGCTTTGACTCTTTTATGTTTGTTAGATTAGATAAGAGATTAGATGTTAGATTATTTTTATATATTAATATGTAAAAGGACCGCGAAACTGACGGCGTCGAGCACGGCGATGACCTTAGGGTTTGAGGCTATGAAGGGACTGGGAGACATGTTAGTTCGGAAGACAGTGGAGTTGTATTTGCTGATTCGGGTGCGAAAAAACTCGTCTTGGCCTTGGCTGTAGAAGTAGTCGTCACGGTCTTTGATGGCGCCGAAGAATGGCCAGCCATAGCCGTCGGGGACTGTTTTCAATGGACGAGAGTAGTCGGAATTAGGTGAAGCCATAATACTTACTTTTTTTTTTTAGTGCGAGAGGGTTGAATAGTTGGAATTGAGGCTTGTTGTTGTTATTGTTGTGTGCGAGAGGGTTGAATCGAGGGGAGTTAATGTATGTAAATGTGACTATATTATTATATATATAAAGGAAAAATAATAATAATAATCATAATAAAGAATTAGGTATAATAAAAAATTAGGCATATGAGGAGTAATCTATGTGTTAAGTTTTAAATACTGTGTTTGCATAATAATAATAAAGAATTAGGTATAGAAAGAAAATAGGATTTGATCACCAGAATGACCTTTGTGTTCCAACTACATTTATGACAACATCAATGTAAATGTCCCTTTAATATACTAACAATTATTAAAAGGGGCCATTTTCCTTCTCATTACAAGAAGCTTCCAATTTAGACTATTGGCTTGTTCAGTTCGCATATTCGAGTTTTTAATTTGAGTTGAGATTCGTTTAGTTCGCTGATTCGAGTTTTTAACTTGAGTTGAGATGTGATTTTATGTGAGAGCTTTTTACTGTAGTAAAAAAGTTAGATGTGACTGTTTGTGAGAGCTTTTTACTGTAACAAAACTCAAATTTTAAACTCGAATCAACGAAATAAACGGGGCCGTAATTTTATGTGAGTTTTTCACTATAGTAGAAAAGTTAGATGTAACTTGTTATGAGAACTTTTAACTGTAGCAAAACTGAAATTAAAAACTCGAATCAGTGAACTAAACGGGCCCTATATCTCAATTCATTGATATTTGATTGTGAATACTATTGATTTTTTTTCCATCCAAATCAGTACACATGGGGTCTCTAAAATCGCAAAATAACTACTTTCACATGCTTGAAAAGGAGGACTTCACCTGCATTATTTTCGATATTTCGGAACCTAAGTGGCATATTCTTTATAACTTAAGGCCTAAAACGCAAAATTTATAAAAAGTTGGGAAATAGTAGAAAATAGGCTAATATGAAAAGTTTAAAAAAGTATATAGGTAAATTTTTAGTTATAAAAATTAATAGGCCAATTTTTAGTTATAGAAATTAATAAACCATAACTTGTCAAGTTATGGTTCATAACTACATAAGTTATGGTTCATAGTCAAACAAGTTATGGACAAAAATCGTGAATTATGGACAATAACTTGTCAAGTTATGGTTCATAACCAGACAAATTATAGACAAAAATAGTAATTTAACCTATTTATTAACTTATATAAATTATTGACCTATTAATTTTAATTCATCTTAAATTTTGACATATTTCGCTCTTTCTCCCTAAAAAGTTAAAGGCGGGTCCGCAATTTACCAAACAATTCCCGCGTAAAAAAGCACGAGGCGTTCAAAATGTGGTGAAAATGTGATTTATTCGTGGCGTAAAATGATTGGTTTCCGGCCTGATCAACAGCATAAGAATGGTGAAGTCCAACACACTTGAGTAATTTTTTATTTATGCCTTGGCATTGTGGGGCCCACAGAAAAACTGCGTACTAAATGCTCTCTACTAGAAATGCTGACTCGTCCCGCTGCAATAATTGAATGAAAACGACGGGCCACGTGGGTTGTTGGGCTGTTATTGTCTTTTGTTGGATTTGCTTTGCCCCAATCATGCAGGCCCTCCTGGCCCACATATATGGGATAACCATCCAGGAGACCATGGTTGATGATACAGAATACAGATACATGCATATGCACGCATTAGGCATATCATATACATAATATGATACATGATGATATAAAATTATTGTTATATTATTATTATTATTATTATGTGGATAAAGGACAAGATGACGTGGATGTGGAACCTAGCAACTGATAAGCATGATGGATAGCTAAGACTGGCTATCGCATTCGCAACCATAAAAAACAATAATAGATGTTATCAATAAAATAAAATAAAAAACATCGACATATATGATAAATAGTTGAAAAATTCACTATATGAGTAGCATCATTATATAGTTATCATCAATGGTGCTATACACTACTGTTTTTTTTTTTTTTTTTTTTTTTTTTTTAAAGAGCTCTGCAATATATTTTCCTGCAAATAATAAGTGTTGTGAGAAGTGGTGATGAGCCGTAGCTATTTTTTTTTAAATGAGATTAATAATTTAGTATGAGAATTCGTGTCATGGTTCGTGGTTCGTTACAGTATTTTCTCTCATAAAAAATATACGTAAATCAATAATAGTTTTGAATTTATGAACCAAACGTCCACTAATATTCTAATTGAGTCATCATAGTAAAGCGCTTTACCTTAAAACCATTAAAAGCTAACGTGATATCTTGATAATAATTTCAAGGGCCTCTCTTAAAATAAAAATTTAAATTTGTAACTGGTTAGAAGATATGGTACTAATGATCATCGATCATAATAAATAATATTACTCATGTTAAAAATGAAAAAAAAAAATTGTCGAGACCATAACTTTTTTTTTTAATCAAAAGACAATTTGTGGTGCTCTTACACCTTTAGCTCAATGATCATAAGTGGAATAGAAAAAAAAATTGACTCATATTTTTGTCAACAAACATTAAATAATCTAATTTAAATCGGTCTAAACTATATTTAATAGGTTGATAAGATCTAGAATTTCATTTTCTTTTCAAACAATGAGA